CTTCAAAGCCATGCTGACAGGTGGTATTTCTTCCATTTCCTTGGGGTGAAGTTCTAGATCAAGTGAGATTAAAGAAGGGATCAGAAGTTCACACTGCTCTATGGAAGCATTAAAATATCATAATGGTTTGCATGAAAATACAAAGTCACCAAACATAACTATCCTTCTCACATAAGTTATGACTAGAAGATAATTCTACCCTGCCTGTGGCCCTGGGGTTCAAGATAAGCAAAAACAATTAACTTCTGTGAATTAAGAAAGTCTTGGGCAGCGGTCCATTGGCAGTAGTTTCTTGCATTCCTTTCTTCAGTACTTTGGCTACCCTTTCTCATACCAAAACTGTTGCTACCTCAGCCAGAGCCCTACAGAAAAGCTTGTGTCTTTACTTCACTCTAACACCTCTAACTAGTTCTTCACATTTCTACTGGACTCACTGGCACTTGCCTAGACTGCAGAGAACTACTAGAGAGGTACACAAAAGACATGGGCTCTATAAGATATGCTTTTCAGCTCAATTGGTTAGCAAAACAACTGTGAGCTCCAGTTTTGCCCTGAGCAGCATTGTTAAGTGCCACTCAGACACTAAAGATAGTCTAAAAACATGTGCTGTAAGAAGCTACATATTATTTCAGACTAACAGGCTATGCAGCAAACCCAGCAATGCAATAAGAACACGATTCTCATGACAGCATGAAATAGAATATGACTTGTTGAAATCCAGTTAAGAAAGGGTTGAGGATCTTGCCAGTGGGACTCAAATGAAATCCAAAGACACAAAACATCTTGTGTCTTGTATCAAAAAGCAGAACAAAACTGCTCCAAAAGTTGAAAGACTGCTCTGAAAGCACAGATCATGAACCCTCATGAGAGCCCTCATTCATTGACTAAATTCTTAGCTTTTGCTGATCAAAATACTTAAGACACAGGAAGGCTGACTGCAAATCTGTTCCAGTCATGGAGTGGCTACTAACAGGCTTCATGAAGGAGTATAGGACTAGTGGCACTGGGTCAGCACAAACAGCCATCTTTGCAGTGTCCCATCTCTGACAGTGACATCTTACAAAGGCCTAAAGGGACTGTATCAGAAAAGGCTACATCCAGGATGCTATTTCTCCCTTTACTGCCTTCCAGCTCCGGCAGTCTACATCTTAGAAACTTTCTGAGCCCACCATTATATCTGCATCTTTGCATTTAAGCTTTTTTTTTTTGTACCTTCACTCATTGCAGTTTCAATTAATTTCTATATTTTGTATCCACAGCAACCAAAAGCACCAAGTCCCACAGCTGCATTCCATGTCACATGGCAAAGTATCTCCTACTTGTTTCAAGCTTCTTACCTCTGCCCCTTCATCTCATCCATAACAGACAACAAATAATCATTCCTTATTTCACTGTCTTTAACTACTGATTCCTAGTCTAATCCAAACCAAAGACATTGTGTCTGTTTTTCCCTGTCCACATATGAAGACTTTTTTGTATCTTGCAGACCTTCTGTTTTTTGGGGTTTTTTTGTTGTGTGTGTGTACACCATATCTTTCTTAAGACAAGGACATCAGAACTAAAGGCAGGACTCAGCTGAGTGTCATCTTGCTATTCAGTCTCTACCCAGGCACATTACAGCAGATGAAGGCCACACACAGGCTATGGCACACAGCTCTGCACTGTTCCAGTTTGCAGTGATATTTCCCTGTGGAAGATAAACACCTCCCTTTTCTCACTGCAGTTCTTGATGTACAACATGCCTATGGGCACACATGCAGGGCTAGACTCAGCAGTGACACAAATACTGGTTTAAGTTTCATCTGAGCAAGCAGTGGATGTGTAATTCAGCATTTAGGCCTGGCAAAGGTAGCAGTGAAGGAGAGGCTGACAGGAGAGGGTAAAAGTTACAGAATGGAGTAAGAATAAATCTGGCCTAGTGTAGAATGGGGACAGCTCAACGCTCAATGATTGCTCAGCATAATGAGGAAAGCACTATTTACAATGATCATGACAGACAAGTTTTATTGCTAGGTTCTCAACTCCAGTGACACAACTGACTGCTTCCCCTTGTCTACATTCAGGGTCATGACTGCAGAGGTGGACGGTTCCCAAGTGTTGAGTGGGCCTTATTCCTGGATCGATCGATCTATCTATCTATCTATCTATCTATCTATCTATCTATCTATCTATCTATCTATCTATCTATCTATCTATCTATCTATCTATCTATCTATCTATCTATCTATCTATCTATCTATCTATCTATCTATCTATCTATCTATCTATCTATCTATCTATCTATCTATCTATCTATCTATCTATCTATCTATCTATCTATCTATCATTATATTTCTTAATATATGTTTGCTAAAGATAACATGCCAGTGTTAAAGTTCCTGTACCAAGAAGAAAAGTCTTGGATGTCTCAGGCTTGTTGCTTTCTAGAAGCTCAGACTTGGGACACTGTGGAAGAAATCCTGAGGCTCATACAGCCCTCAGACTCATTACACCTTGCATCTTTGGTACCATCAGCAGGACAACGAATAAAGCAGAACGAGCTACTGAAATTCATCAAAGGGTTTATGATGACTCAAGTAACACTCTGTGAGAAGCTCTAGCAGTCATGGGAGAACAGATAAAGTACTAACACAGATTAAAAAGGGGATGGTAAGATGATAAACAACAAGCTCTAGGGAGAGAGATACATAGGAATATGGAGGAAAAATAAAAGGAAGTACTCCCAATGGTAATTTTCAATGAGACTCTTTATCATTTGAAGACCAAAGAAGCCACAAGGAACATCAGCAGGACCAACTGGGTAATATGTTAGTTGATGAATTTCACGTGGATAAAACACACAGTAATGAATCCTGGAAAGGTCAAACTTTTCATTCATATTGCTGAAATCTAAATTAACTTTTGGGTGCATGTATAGGTCATGGAAACATCAAATCTGTGCCCAATGGTAATCTAATAAATCAGTTACAGAGCTGTCGCATTATTCTATTAAGGCTATTCTATACCAATACTGAGGTGTATATATATATATCTAAAAGTTAGCATAGAAATAATTTACAATCACTTCACGTGAGCGAAGTGCAAAGTGGTTGCTAGTACATAATCATAACAAAGATACATCTGGATGTGACAAAACTTCACGCACTACCTTCCCCACCAATGGCACGACAAACTCAAAGACAATTAATTTAGTATAAAACCTAAATGTCCAAGAGTAAGGCAACAAAAGGGACTAAGGTAAGTGTGGAGGATGGAAAGATCAGTTGGTGACTCATTTTTACATCAGATGAATAAAAAAAGACTGTTGCTCCCATCAAACACTTAGTAAAAAGCAAGGGCTCTTTGGAGAGTGACAGGTGAGAGGAAGAAGGGCAACAGAAAAGAGAGAGAAAAGCCAGAGAGCAGGGTGAATCTAGTACACCTTGAGTCCTCACAAAATTCAGGATACCATTTGGCCATGGGACCTCTACAGGACCTATTCACTGAATACAGAACTTATTATTCCACGAGAGTGCTGAGGGCTCCCAGGCACCTGACAGTGCTTCCATCTAACAGAGATTTTTATCTTTAAAAAATCCCCAAAACCCCCAAATTTTAAAATTTGGGTTCCTTAAGGGTTAGAGGAGAGGGAGGTGCTTACAAATAGTGACTAGATGCAAGTACCTGGCAGTGGGCACAAGGCAGCCTTCACACACTCAGCACACAGGGTCCTTACTGTAGTGGAAATGAAATGTAGCCCACAATGAAATGCAGGTAGTGTGCCCTGGTTAATGGGAGTGCTTCAGGGCAGTGCTGGCTGCCACTGCCCAGGCTCTCCTTCTCTCCTGATACTTAGAAAAATACCCGAGCTGCTATCCTTGTCTGAGAAATGATGAGTAAGTAGTAAAAGCAAACAGCGGAATTTACTGCTGCTGTCAATTACAAAACTTGGCACATGCAGCCTGAAGTGACTCGGTTTTACATCTGTTAGGGCTGAACAAACTGGACACAAGCTGAAGCAAAGAGAGGTTCATGTCTGCAAAATGCATGGGAAAATAATGAATATACAGTTAGCTTCTGATTCTGTGGCATCGACCACCAATATCCTCCAGAAATGGACCCTGTCTCCACTATTTTCCCTGCAATTCAATATGGCCGTACTTAAAGTTTTTGTCTGAAAATGCTGTACAGGTTTAACCAGCTACACCATCCCACTCCCTGGAGATGTTTGCATTTCAGTGGTGGATGAGGTGATCTCTGTTTATAGTTTATACATAAGCTTGTACAGTGCACTGAAAGGCTCTGCAATCAAAACAGCCAATAATAAATTAATTAAAAACAGTTATTTTAAAAGAAAGTGCACATTACTATGGAGAAAAGAACATATTGTTGCACAAGGATATTAATACCCTATTTACTTTTGTCCTTTTTTCTAAATAAGCTTATAATCCATATGGGTAACCACTGTGTATAAAGATTCATTTGTTGAGCTTCTTCACTGGCTTTCCAGGTGTAAGGAGGCTGGTCAGTTACACAGCATTGAGAATGAAGGACCTTAACCCACAGCAAGCCAAGTCAAAATTACATTTGTGGTCACTTTTGATATAGTTATGGTCACCTTTGTATCAAATAGTAAAACAGTAACTGACTGTCTTCTCCTTGCAAAGTTAAAATATATGGACAGATTATGAGACTAAAAATTAGCACCTAGCAACTCTATTACCTGAAACCTAAGAATCTCTATTCACATGGTCTTACACAGTGAAACTAATGGGCAGAAAAAACAATAAGCAACTGGCCTAAATGTGGAAAACCTATGGGAACTCCAAGAGTTTCTAGAAAATCCACTACTGCTAAGACAGTTGTTCACATTTACCCACAGACAACAGAACTTTCTAAATTGCAAAACAAGTAGAAGTTGCCCTTTTAGAAAACATGCATGCACCTCTAAATTATAACATTATTAGATCATTTTTTAGTGTCTTATCTGCCTGCGCTGGAACCAGCAGTAATTTGCTTACCGTTGTGAAATGAACTACACAATAGACTCCAATGATGACAAGGCCAATGATAATCGATGCCACAGCCACCCAGAGCGCATTGCGACCCAGTCTTTTTGATCCTTCTATATCTCCTTGATTATAACTGTTTAAAGCCTGGAAAAGAGAGAGAATGTTTGTGAGATTTTTGTACACAGAAATCTAGACAACCCAATGTGACTGCTTTGAACTAACATTAAGTTGTGTGCACACTGGTAGTGTAGAAAGGATTTCAGAAAAGAGTTATTTGCTTTGTAAAAATACACATCCACTGCCAACAGTCCAAGGTAAGCAGGGCATCCAGGCTCCTGTTCCACTCAATTTCAGCACATTTCACTGCAACTGTTGCTCTTTTCTTTTCAGTGGTGAGGCTGTATGGCTGTATTCATGAGTAGTTTTCTTGTACATACCAGCAAAAAAGCTGTCAAACCAACTCTAATCCACTCACTTGCATAAATCAGTGGCTTTTATCTCTGCAAATACTTTTGCAGTATATGTGAACTGTTACTTGGCCACTTCACTAGCAGTGAAAAAACTCTTACTGATTTCCTATTTTTCCAATATTTTGCTTTTTAAAACAAAGTTTGGAGAATTAATAGGTAGTTTGCTGGTGGTAGAAAAAATGCAAACTGAAGAAATACATCTGAACAAAACACCTGAGTGCCACCTTCATGGGTAGAAATTCTGTCCCTTTGCATTTTGGAACACACTGATAATTATTACGATCTACAGCCTGAGGTATGCATTAGATATATGGATATTATTCTTTCAATAGACTTGAGTTTACCCTTGTCCACCCATGATTTAGCAGAATATTTCTATTCATTACATGCAGAGATTGCGAGGTGTGATAGGACCACTCTGATCCTCTAGTTCTTTGTGAGACAGACAGTAGGATTTTCTGAATTAATTACTTTTAACCAGACTATATTTTAAAACAAAAGACTCAGTGAAGCATACTGAAGTATTCTAGTACATGGGTCTAACACAGGTTGTAGGAACTTCTCCCCAAGTATAAGATGCTATCAAAGAATTAAAAGAGTATTATTAATAAGAATGATTTCAAAAGATTAAGAGAGTTTGAGTTCATAAACCATGACACTGAGTCCAGATTTATCAGACTGCACTATTCAGTGATCCCAGCATACTTCTCAGGGAATTATGTCTCCTATGTATTCCAGGAAGTATCCCAGAAACGGGAGGTGCAGGGGGAGAAAGATGGGGACCTGATCAAACAAACTGTTCTGTGGACTAAATAATTCAGATTGTCCTTAGAAAAATGACTTGATGAAGTAACAACCAAGTGCTATTACCAAAGTGCTTTATTTATGAATAATTTTTTGTAGCAAAAACAGAACAACAGCTAATTCAAAGTGAAGATCTGAGATTGTGGAGAGCAGGAAATGAATGAACTTTAGAAGATACGAACCATTGTTGTAGAGCCTTTTTACCTAAGGAGAAAAATAATTAGGAACATTATCTGTGTGTTCTGTCAATTAGTGAGCACACAGAAGTTAATGGGCTAGATGCATCCTTAGTGTTAGCACTGCAGTAAGATCACTCCTGCCAAGACAGTCCCAAAGCAATGAAGCCAATAATCCTAGAATTGCATCACAAGGATAAGTGCAGGTTCTTATTCTCTGGTGTCTAAGGAAGGCTGAGCTGCTGATGCACTCTCACCCTTAAAGAGAGCACTGATGCATTTCTTCTTTTCCTGGAAGCATACATGCCTCAATATTTCTCTATTTCATCTCCCAAAAGAATATCACATTCCCTAAAGAATACCTCTGCTCTGCTGTCAAATTTCATTGAGGTTGCTAAGGCACTTTTACAGGATACAGTGGGGAAAGTAGCAACCTCAATGAAATTTGACAAGGCACTTTTACAGGATACAGTGGGGAAAGTGGGAAGAGATGGAAATGAGAGATGGACAAAAACACAGTCAAATAGGATTGTGTCACCTGATTCTCCACCAGTGCTGCCTCCTGTTACCAAGGGTGGCTGGCACAGTTCCTCTCACCTAAGTTACTCCACAGTTTTCAGCAGTCCTGTTCACAGGAGAAGCACTTTCTTAGGTTCTCTCAAAATACATTTGGGAAGGTCAATAGCAGAGGTATGGGGAGAAACGTGGCTTGGTTTAGTCTTCTCCTCCTGCCTCTGTCAGCAACTATGAATGTGACAGTGGCTACAGGGAGAAACACGGAGAAGCATCACTGACAATCCTGCCCTCTTCTCCCCACCCACAAAGGTCTCACTTTGCATGACATCTAGAGGGTGCTGCTGCAAACACTCTAAACTCAGTTCCTCAAACACGTGGTCTCAAGACTGAGACAGAGTTGTGACCAAGACACAGCAGCACCAGCTTGCAGTTCTGGGCAATTTTACTAATGTGTTTAGGAAGTCTGGAGAATGTCCATGTGATTTCTGCAGGTACTGCAGAAATTATTAACTCTGTGCACTTTAATAAATAACGTCATTTAAATACAAATCCATGATGAAGAGGAGGAAAACAGCATTAATGATAAAGAAGAGGATTTGGGAGAGACAGGAAGGAGACAAAAGTTTCTCTGTTAAGAGGTTTAAATTAAATGGCATAAGTTAGCATTCATAAAAAAAGAAGAGGTTTGGGGGAGTGGCTGCGGTCTGATGAAAAGCTCTTTGAAATTCATTTACTTCCATCTGCTTCAAAGGGCCCTTGGATCAAGCTTCCAGTTTTCAACATTAGACATAGACAACATTAACTGTTACAGTCTTATATGTTATATCTGTTATTTCCAAGGGCTAGGCAATATATACAGAATATAACATCTGTGTGTGACATTTGGTCTGTCCAACTTTTAAAATAAATTTCATTCATTTTCAACCTAATACCATATATTTCTCATGTTTCTGATACCTCACTCATTATGAAGTCAATAAACTAAATCAAAGCTACAGCTCCACAGCTGCTTACTTACTTGAGCAATCTCAGTAACTTTGTTATGTTCACACACATCTAGTTATAAAATATATTCTCAGTTCAACAATGATGCTACTTAACCTCATATGAACAGAAATGTATTGACTTAGCTACAAACTATTAATCCCTATCAACATGCATTTTCTGTTCCACATTGCTAGAGCACTGCTCATGGCAAAAACAGAAAGGATACTGAATTACTTCAGAAATCTTCCTCCACATCTCCTAGAAATCTGGGCAGACCAGACTGAGGTCCTCTGGTCAACATATTCTACGCTTTCCATGAGCCAGGTTGTGCCAAATTTTGTTTAGCTGTGCCTGGAACAGAGACACTCTCTAGTTCAGACCAAAGGAAGAATAAGACATGCTGACTCAGTATGACTCCTCACTGTGAGGACAACTTACAGGGAAAAGAAAGAGGAGAGGGGGAACTCAGGAAGGAATTCAGAACCAGGCTTGATCTCTGATTTTTGGCAAATGAAACAGGCAGGTGATGAACAGAACACAACAAAAGGGGAGTCTGCTCTGCAGGCTGGGTAGTGGCATGGGAATGAGTGCTGACTTCTGTGTCTCTGGGGACAGTTTCAAAGTGTTGTTGCAGAGGAAAAGCTTAGCAGTTTGCAAAGTAAGGGCCAGGCAATAATTTTAAAGAGCTGCTGAGTCTTATCTTTTAATAATCCTAAAGCAGGTACAGGCTGCCCCATATAGTATTAGATGTTCAGGTACCTACAAGCTACTTAAAAAAGCTGTATAAATAATAAACTTTTCAAATAAACTTTCTAGCTAAAGAGAAAGTACAGCTGTACAGGAACACTGGTCACTATTTTAGTCACTGTCTTGACCAAAGCCAACACACTGGATATGGCTCATCAGGATTCCAATTAGAAGAGCTGAACTCTCAGAAAGCCAGTTCCATCCTTTGCTGTCCCCTGATTTTTGCCATCTTCTTGCTTGTTCTCTCTGCTTAGGGAAACTAATATCCAGACAAGGCATCTGAATCCAAGGGTAACAAATGCAGTCAAAGAACTTGCTACTATCAGAGGCAGATGAGCCAAGATTGTCACAGCTTTACCATATACATTGTTTGAAACACTCAAATGATTAATCAGAAATGTGTCAACATAAAGAGGGAGTCAGGAGCAATCAATCAGGAAGAAATAGCTTTTGAGAGACTGTTTTAAGTTCTTACAAATCCAAGGCTCTATAGAATTACATGACTAATCTGGCATACAGATCTTTGAAATAAAGACAGTTGAAGGTAACATACTGAGGAAAGCCAACAAAATTTGTTCAACTATCAGATTGTGGTGCTGGTAATTAGACGTATAACTGATTGATTTTTCAGAGGTTTCCCACAGCCTCCCCGCAGCCTCCCTCCAGCTCTGATTCCATGAGTCAGATACAGCCAGTCCACTCGAGCCAGTTCTCAGACACAAGCTGCAGTTCACTGCCAGCTAAGTGCTCCTTGGGTTCAGAGCAGGGGAAAAAGATATCCCTGCAGACAAGGAGCCAAAGAGCTCAGTGACAGACTATCTAGCCACAGCCTCACACCAAAGGTCTCCTCCATCACGAGCCTACTGACTTGGTACCCGATGCCTGTGGTCTCACCCATGGGAGAAAGAATAAGGGAAGTCTGAGCGAGGCACCTCTGGGGTTGAGAGATCCAACTGATCACACAGCAACACAAGATACCTGCTAAAAGCAACAGGAAGCAGAGCTGGTGACATCTGCCTAGAACTGCAGAAGACTATTGAGGAGAACAGTAATCCCACAGGGAGGAATCCTGGCCAGGACCCTAGGGAAAACAGATCTCCATTTGCTAAAACTTCCAAGCATCTCTGACACCAGCCCATGACCAGCAACTAATTTGAGGGGGCTGCTCCTGTAACACCACACTGATGCCATTAATTGTCCATTCTAGTAGCTATCCTCCTATTCCTGTCATAGAATATTGGTTTCTTTCACCGAGGAGCTAAGTAACAATAAAAGGTTATTATCACAACAGGGAGAACTTGGGAGAGATTGATTCTAAAAATATATTCAAGGAGGTAAGATCTGAAATGGTAAGGTTTATGGCCCCAAAAGTGAGAAAGAACTGAGGAAACCAGTGCTGGAGTTGTAAATGGGGCAGCAGAAGAGACTGAAGACAGAACTGTCATTTAATTTGGGGTGTGTTAAGAGTACAGACTCTACTTTTAGACTGAAAACATTTTCTGAATTGAGAGCACTTAAAGAGGTCATGACATAAGCAAACACCATGCCTTTCTTGAAACCAACAAGACTTTTCATTCCAGGGCCATTCTAGGCAGCGGAAATGTATTAAGAACTCCACTTTATGAGTCGGTATCTCTTCTGCCACATCTCAGGCAAGATCTGCAGACTATAAAGGTACCTTTTGTAAGAACAGAAAATAACCCACTTTTATATCTCAGTGTTAACCCTTAGTAACTCTAGGAAACAAGCTGAGAAAGAGAGGGAGGATGTAGAACCTAGGAGAAGTGGAAATAAACACAGCATAGGTTACAATGCAGAACCTGGAGCTGAGGTGAGTGGAGCAGTCACAGATTGCAGCTCTAAAAGGCAGGGGAATTAGGCTGTGGAAAATTAGTTAGACATACTATTTTCATAGCAAATAAGAGGGTTTAGGTAAGAATGATATTGAAACAGAAGGGATTCAAATGCAGTGGAGGTTATTGATTCAGGAGTGGGCAGCTGAGACCTGCACAGATTGTTTAGCATTCAGGAAGTGCTCTTCCCACCCTGGTTTCTACATATCCCCTGGTGACAGTTAACTTAAGCCTGACTCCAAAAGCCTGCAACTCCAGCTAGGGTGCGGGTAGAGATTTCTCCATATGGGGTGCAAAAATCTTTAGAGGCCAAATTCTGTCCTTGACAGTTAACTTCTGTGCAGCCCTTGTGCTTTGGTAAAAGTACTGTCATAGGGAGCAGATGCTCACAGCCCCCAGTCATCAGTTCTCATTACTTTATATAGCACCATGAGTATCCACAGACAGGAAGGATGCCGGGTATCAGCAGGACCAAATCTTCTCAAATCAAGGAAAAGAGTGTATTGCATAGCTAACAACTAAGAAAATAAACAGAAAAAAGATGACAGCTAATACTTATCTGGACAAAAAAGGCTGTGAAGGTGGCTTTGGAATAGCTCCTTTAAGTAATTTTCAAGCTTAAGCAATATGATTTCTGATAAATCATACCAGTTTTTAAAGAGTGTGCTTTAGCATATTTTAGATATAGGTATTTTTTCCTTGTACTTAACTGGAAGAACAAACAACTATATATTTACTTACCTTTTTAGCCTGGCTGTCAGAGAAAAGGATGAAAATACACAACATGTTTTAAACCCTTGTCAGCTCCTAAACAACAGAAATACATTGCAGTATTACTGATCACACTGATCATGTATCCTATTAGAAAAGTCTGGATCTGACTCTGCAACTTTTAACTCTGAGAAGAAGATTCTAACAGTTGTTTTGAAGTTAAAGGGATCCCTGGATTATTAACAACTGTGCAAATCAATTACAGGTTGTAGGAGTAAGGCTATTCTCTTGGTATACTTGATACTCAATCTTATAAAGGTTTTTGTTTAAAACCTACAATCGTTACTGATTTTTGTACTATTCTAGCAAACAGTATCAGGCTAAAAAACCTGTTCAGTGGATAAATGGGCACTTCTATCACACTTGGCTAGCTGAAATAGAAACCATATTTCTTCCATTGCAAATCTGATTTCAGCTCCCCAACTACTCCTTTTACACACAGACACTGTGTCTAATTCAGTGTGCAAGTTAGTTGATGCAACAAATCCCACTAATCAGGATAAGCCTCTTTTTCCATAGCCTGAAAGGGAAAACTTGATATGAATTGCCTTCCACTCTGCATTTTATATCTGCCACTGGGATAGGCAAGTGGACCCCCTGCCTGAGCCCGCTGATGCTCTCTGGCTGCCTGCCTCACAGAACTTTGTCCGCAGGCACCAGCGTGTTAAGAAGGCAACTGGATGCCCGTTACCCTGATGGCTCCTCCAGATCGCTTCGCCCCTGTAGGTCCCGGGCGGGACCAGCCGGAGCACTGCAGCTGGCCACGGGGAGCTGGAGGTGGCCCCCCAAAAACATCCAACCCGAAAATGAAGGTCGCCTGGGCACCCGGCGAAGGGCTACTCACCATGACAGCAAAGACGAAGGCTACGATATTGACGGGATAGGCGGGACAGAAGCAAGCGAGGATGCTGAGGAGCAGGTAGTTCTTGGGCCGCGGCTGCGACGGCCCGTCGGGCAACTCATCTTCGATGTTGGTCTCGGGGCTGTTCTCCAGAGCCCTCTTGATGTCGGCAGCGGCGGGGAGCGCGGACATGGGGCTGCGGCGCGGCGGGCGGGCGGCTGGGATTTAACCCCGGAGTGAATGCGCGGGGAGAATCGGGTCAAGAAGGAAACCGAGCAAAAGCCCTCGGGGGTTCCCTGCACTAAGTCCCGGTAGCCTCCCCGGCCGCTGGCACGGGGTGTCCGAGCCACCCGGCCTTTGGCTGGCCTGGTCTTTCCTGAAACTTTTTAACTTTCTGCAGTTAAACGAGTCCACTGAGTTCGCATTACCCCCCAGAAAATTTTGCTGTGCTCTTAGACTCGTATTTCCTAGTGTCAGTGAGCTCCATCAGCCAGGGGCGTCAAGACATTTCCTTCCATCAGGCTGAATTTGGCATCTCCTAACACCAATCACTTGCTAATCTTAGCAAAAACATTAGAGACTAGCAGAAAATAACCAACTTAAAGCATTTTGGTGGCCTAGAGTATTTTTGCCAATTTTTAGCAAGTGATTCAGTCCTTAATGAACATAGATAGCATCTATAAGGTGAAATCCAGTTTGGGGTATGCAGGAGGGGGAGAAGGGAAACGAATTATTATTTCCAAAACCCACTGTATGGGAGAAAAAAACCACAAAAACAATGAGGAAAAGTATGACAGCCAACATCTAGAAAGGAAAAGGGCTCCGATTCTGCCTTGTGATATAAGAAGAAAGAACTTTATACCTGAATGGAGCTTGAGCAAAATTGAGTGACTTCTGATCAGAGGAAGGTTGAAGTTGAGGTTTTGTTCTGTTTGGCTCCTCCTGAGAGCATTTAATAATTAAAGTCACAGACCAAGGTGTGCTGAGAGTTCTATGAATGAGCTACTTCTGTCACTGGTAATTTTGCCAGTTTTGACTTGAATGGAGCCAGTTTCCTGTTTCTGCATGTCAACCTACAAGATACAATGCAGCCAACACAGTAAAGATATAATAAACATTGAGGCTGTACTTTTACTTTCACAGACCTGAGTAACCTCTCAGCTGCATACCTGGAATATAGTATGGAATGTGAATCTGCTGATCTATCAAAATGTCAGAAGAAAATATTCTGTACCTTTAGCAAAGAGTAAGAAACACTAAGTTACATCCGCTTGCCAATCTATCCATTAGTGTTCAGGCACAAGCTTTTGCAGCTGTAAAATCTCTGATATGTTTGTTCTCCAGGGACTTCAAACACCATCACCAGACAAGCTCCGAAAACACAGTTTGCATTGCACCACACATTACTTTTAGAATTTATTTCAGCAGGGATGGAGGCCACAGATTTACCCTCTGCAAGGGATCAGAATCTTCCAAGGCCACCCAAGACTTAGATCCATGAGGAGGCTTTCAGAGAAACCTTGTCATGGCTTAGTGAAGTTGAGTTGGTCTGCTTGTAGCTGAAACACTTGCAGGTATGTAAGAACCTAGTACCAGGCATGTGAATGAAAACTTCAGGGCACATGGGGCAGTTTGAGCCACTAACGCCAAACATAAACAAGCACCACAAAAATCTGCTGGCAAGTCAGCTCTGTACAGAAGATGAAGTTGTATTCAGAGCTTAGCCAGGGACACATGAAACTGGGGTATGAAGGATGGCTGTAGATGCTGACATCTAATGACAGCTAGTTTAAACACCTTTATGGGGGACCTCCAAGAGGGCAATTCAGAGACTGGTGGAGTAACCAGTGACATCAGGTCCACAGCTTGCACTAAGTCTTTCTCCAAAGACTATGTAGGAGGCATCTGGGCTCTGTTACATTGGACCATGTGAATCCCTAATAGTGGAACCTGGGGTGATTCTAGAAACAGCCAAGTTTAATTGTTCAAATGAGGCTGCAAAGGGATGCTAATGGATTGTAAAGAAAGCAGGAGAGAGGAAGTGGTGAGATTGTGGAGCTACAAAAGATGTTATAGATATTGAGGGGCAATTTGTGATAATGAGAGCTCATTAAGAGGTTCTTGAAACAAAGTTTCTGTCATGAAGCAGTTATTGTAGCTGAATTCAGTGGTTTGTTTTATGTAGAAGATGGGTTAAAATCCAAGAAGTGTATCCTGTTAGGGACAACACTGATTAAATTTTAAATGTAACTGACTTGTAGACACTTATTGAGGTAAAGAAAAAGGAGCTATTCAGCCAACAGTTAGGTTTCACAGACTGCAGTGATGGAGGGAAGCTACAGTTCCAAGAACCTGGGGAATATTCTGCAGAGGGAAAAACCACTGTGCTGAGATGGCTGAGCAGAAAGCTGTGAAAATTATTTAAGAACATTAACTGAGAGTTTTAAGATGTAGTTTCATGGAGAACAATCACAAAAATAGCCCTCCAAGAGAGTGAGCCAGAGTACCTATATTCTTGCTTACAGCCTTGCACTTCAAGCAGAGTCTTGGAAAAGAAGCTGATCACTCTGCACAGAGCAGAGATTTTCCCAGTGACACAAGTAAGGCAAGATGCTAGTTAAATTACTTATCATGATAGGAGAAGCAGATGGGCTAGAGGTATGACAGTTACAAGTCTATTTTTTAAAGGTCTCCTTCCCCTGATTTCAGAGGGTGCTATAGTCACACAGCAGGGTTTGCTGAAAGGCAGAATATGGTCTCTCCAGCACACTTTGCTGCATTGCTGGCTGGTAGGACTCTCTTCAAAGACACGTTCACTGCTCACAGTGGTTCGGGAAAGGATTTTGTGTCTGCATGCACAAGTCAATGTCCACAAAGATCAAAACAGGTAGTTTAGTGCTCAGACATTGTTTGGGACTAACATGTATGTCCAGGCAACATGATAGGAGCTTCCTCACTGGTGCTGCACAGCACTAACAGAGCAGAGTCTCTGCAAACCCTGAGCACTATCAAGTGTGAAGCCATACCTGAAAGAGCTGGTGGGACCTTGTACTGGCCTGAGAGACTGGTCAGATGGTGATTTCTCATGGAAGGGACAGTAATGGGTGGACTTATAAAGAAGAGACAACTTGTCTGAAAGTTATTTCTTTTCCAAGAGAACAGGTAAGAGTCACTATCTGTGCTTGGCACAAATGATGAATCAAGAGATCTATCTACCCTTTAACTCTCTGCCCTATATGAATAAGAACTTTCAGGAATCAAAAACTAAATTTCTGTTGGCTTTTTTTTTTTGCCAGCTTTCATGTATTTGCATTACACTGCACTTCAGGAATTAATTTAGACCCTTCCTTAAGTCCGTTTGTGTCACTGTCATTATTTCTTCTAGCATGTAACCAGTTAGGGTACAACAGGCACATGTCTTTTTTCCTGCTTTTGAAATGAACAGAGTTTAATATGTAGCATATTAAACAGCAGAAAGTGTAATGGCTGGAAGGATACATATTCCTTTCCTTGAAAATGATGGATGAGGATTCTTTTTGCTGTTGCATTTTTGTGGATATTACTGAGTCAGCAGTGTCTGTGGGACTGATGCACTATTCTTCCACTGGGATTACTGTAGGCTGATGCTCTAACGGGTATGATGAAAGAAATGCCTTTCTTAGTTTAAACATAACTTTGCGATTTTACCCTTCCAGCTGTATACTCTTATTTTTCATTGTGGACTGTAACTGTGGGATGTGGCTTTGCAAACATCAAAGGTCTGTGATGAGCTGCTAACTTTGGTAAATTATTCACGGTAAATAAATACGTGAACAGGCAAATATTCAGATAAAAAGGGAAGTTTCTTTCACAGTTGGACAGATTTTTTTCTTTCATTGATAACCTTCTGAAGTACTATCCTAATTTCAACCAACACCATGCAAACCTGCTAGTGCTTGAATACATGTGAGAATATCTGTATTTTTCATTATCTGTCCTTTTCCATTCTAACTCCTGGCTTCTGACCTGTCTTGTTTCATCACATATTAACTTTAAAGTTAGGCCAGTTTGTTAGGCCAGCTCAGACAGCAATGGGCATCTGCTCAGTGCTGTGGGTGACCTGCGTTGTGCTGTGAGGAGCCCCTGTTTTATCTCCGTGTTCCATTTCCCTGCAAATGAGTTCATGTTCTTGGAAGTTTTTCTTCTTGTGACTGACAGGACAGTCTGTTGTAGCAGTTTCTTTGTAGCACTGAAATAGCAGAATTTATCTTACCTCACTTTACCATCTGAAAACATTGCATTACAGCTCAGCTGGCTCAGATTTCCTGGTCCCATGGGGAGAAGAATGCACTTGAAGTGAGTTTGCATGCCTTAGGATAACTAGAGGAGATGAATTCCAGGCAGAAATTTTGCCTAAGTCACTTCTAGGGCACGTTTTTAGTCCATTATCATGCTAAGTGTGTTTTAGCTGCTGCCTTCTGTACCACACCTGAAAAGCAAGAAAATGTAGGCTGTGCTGAACAGAAGCAGCTGCAAAGGCTAGGAGCCCCTTGCAGAAGGAGCATTCAAGCCTCTCCTCTAACAAAACTGTCCAGCACACATGTGCTACGTGTCCTCACTACATTTCTTCTTGGGCCAGGTGGCTATTCTTCAGGTAGGCTCATCCCTTGTTACTGTTATGTTGGGATACAGGAAGACTGGGTGCAGCAGTCAGTATACTTGTGTGTTGACTGACACCTGGTATTTGACAACTAGTCGAAGACCTAAAGCATCATTGTGCTGTTAACTTTGCTTATGGACTGGGACATGCTTTTTGTACAAAGAGAGATACAGGGACATACCCAGCGGTGCACACACTGCTTGAATTAACTTCATTGCTCTTGGTGACTTAGTTGCTTTGACTCCAGTTCTCACCCTGCACTTTTCCTTATACATTGGCAATAGTGAGACTTCTGAAAAAAAACTCACAGACCTCAGTGTGTCCTTCTTGCCTGACTGCACTCACATTTGGATTTGCTGCTCAGAGTTCTGTTATTAGAACTTAGATATACTTAAGTTTGATTGCTCGTATTTTGCAAGGGGCTGGAATATTAGCAGTTTATTTAAATGTATTTGGAATATGTCAAAATAGACTGATTATGTTTAGAAATTTTCTAGTGTTTTTCAAATTTAGACCTTCATCTACTACGAATGTTATCACATGCTGAGGTTTC